TACATACATACATACATACATACATACATACATACATACATACATACATACATACATACAATGAATTTTCAGACAGTTGTTCCACTGTTAAAGCAGTAGAACACTATAACAATAATAGAAAACATTGAACAATTCAATTGTTGGACTAAAGGTTCTCAGTGTCTCTCTGTGTGTAACTGTCTGTCTGTCTGTCTGTCTCTCTCTCTCTCTCTGTCTCTCTGTCTCTCTATCTCTGTGTGCACAGATACCAAACTCCAAGGCCTTTGTAGATGAAAATTAACTCTGAATTTAGCTTTTGAATTTCATAATTGATTATCCTTTTTTAAGTTGAGAAAGCTCAAATGTTAAATGGTGGCCTCATGATTTTTCAGCGTTGTTCTTCAGCTAAAAGATGTTAGCAATGATTGAGCCATAGTAGATGGGGTTGTTGTTCTATTTACGAGTACCTCAGAATGAGTAGATATATATTTATCTTCTTTCTCCCCAGTGGAGTACTTAGAGAAGCCCCCACAAGAGCACATAAATGCATGTTTTGTTGCCTCAGAAGAATGACTTAGCTGTTCCAATGAAAAACAAAGACTTAAATAAAGACCACATTAGAGGCACTTAAGTGAAAAGCTGGAAGGAGAATCTAGTAATGTTTTGCTACCGTCCCCTCCTCCCCTCCTTGGATGCATTTGATTAAACATACACACATTTATATATTTGCAAAGATGCTTGATTATTATATATCATCTAATATGTAGCAAAATATAATTAGGCTGCTTGAATGAAAAATAAAATGGTGGGTTTTGCCATGCCACATTACGGTCTGCCTTTTAATAAAGTTTTGTAACTTTTGTATACTCTTTTTTTTTTTGTAATGGAATATACAGTGCTGCTTAATTTTTTGTTTATAGTCAGGGGTACCATGCTAGAAATAGTAGTATATGTGACTGATATCTTATTTTGAAGGCTGTTCATTTTTTGGGAGTATTATATTTATCTTTTTCCTGATGATTTAAAATCCTAGAAGTGTCATGGATTACAAACCACTCCATCAGATCCACATGGCATTGTCCTGAGTATATATTGTACTGTACTTGATAAATACTGCATCTATCTAGTAAAGTAAACAGTTTTCATAGGAAACATTTAGCCTATAAAGCATCACATGTTAAGAGTATTTTGGCATATTTGTGAACTGAAGGCTTCTGCAGCTAAAGTAGTAACTTGTAAACAACTTCACAAAGTGACTAGAATAAAATTAAATAATTGAAATTGTGACTTGGAACCATTTTCTATTTATGTTTAGTATCTGTATAATTCTATATTTTTCCACAAAGTGTTTATTTTTTTTAGAACTGAAAATATTTAGAACTATTTTTTTTCCTGTAGTCGTATTAAAAGTTAAACTTGGCTGTTTAACAGACAAAAGATACATATCCACAGAAATCATTTAATTGAGAAGTTGCATATTCTAGCATGTCTGATTCCTAAGATGTATTCCAATGGGCTTTCCATACTAAACTTCCATAAGTTTTTATTATATATATAAAAAAATCAATGTTAATGATTAAATTTGCTTGAAACTGTTTTGTTAGCACAGCATATTCTCAATTTCCCCACCTTTGGTCCAAAAGCAACCACTATTATGGCCTTTTAAGAACTACAAAGAAGATAGATTTTCATGCTTTCCTATTTTGAGTTGTGGATGTGAAAAACTACTTTCTGACCTTGTATAAAATTGGAAATGAGGGTTCGGTACATATAGTCTTGATTGTAGGTTGTTACTAACAAATTTACGAATTGCTTTTCTAGGAAAAGCCATTTTAATATATGTATATTCCAAGGATGCAAAAGTTATATTTAAATTTTATTTTATTTACTTTTTTTTCCAATATATTTTCCAGCTCATAGGTCATATTTGACCAACTGCTTTCAGACAAAGACATGGTACTTTGTTGAACTATTTAGGAATCAAAAAGACTGCCTTAATTTAAAACAAGGAGTCTTTGTTTTAGTTGGTGACTGTCTTGTGAAATTTTTCAGTTCTCAGCGGGTTAACCAGGGAACAGGGGCAGAGTCATAATTGGCCTATTTAGAGTGTTTTGCATGTGAATAGTGTGTTAGTGAAGCATTACTAAGTCTGTTGTGAGTGACATGGTGATTAGAATTTAGATTAGGGAAAACACATTCTGTACTTTATCAAGTACAGTAATTAGTTCAGTCAGTAAAAGTTGATTACAAGTAACGATAAAGTTAGATTTTTGGTACTTAATTTTGAAATTTCTTTATTAAATGGGAAATTTCTTCATCATATAAATGGTAGTATCTGCACCTGTTTTATTGCATATCAGAAAAATTAAAAGAACAATGTGTTCGGTGCAGAGTATAATCAGGGGATTTATATATTATGGGTAAGTTGCAATGTAGTTATAGTAATAGAATTTTTAGAAAATGTCAGTCTTTGGTTTTTCCTTGTAACTGTGCTCAGATTCCATTTCTTCTGGATTAGTAGTAACTTGTCCATTCATAAGTAAGTACGTTTCGTATTTCTGGATGCTCACATCCTTATTGTAACAGTATGATATTGAAGTAGCTTGTTAAAATAACTTCTGTTCACTATTTTTTCCTCGATCTCTGTTCCTTGTTCCAAATAATGTAGCCAAACAACAGCTAATTTCAATAAAACATATATATTATTATTATTATTTTGACTTCTTCTTCAATGAACATATACTTGATTGGCACATTTTATATGGTAACTATAAGCCACTTTTAAAAATAGTTTTATTGGACACAGAAACCTTTTTTAGAATGATTATCTCTTCACAATGAAATCGTTTGGCAGTATTAGACTAAAAAGTTAAATCGAAGAACACAATATATTTGATTCATTCTAAATAATTTAGAAAAACAAAGAGCTCTGAATCTTTTGATAATAAAGTTTTTAAAAATACTCATCTGCTGTTTCCTTTAAGCAGAAAAAAATTTAAAAAAATAAATTTAATTAGTAATTAAATACGCAAAATTTCTTTTCAGTAATAGTTAAATTGTTCTCTATTTTTTTTTAAAAAAAAGACTGCTTTGTAATATTTAAAACAATCGTGCTGAAATGCATTTTGACTGGCTGCTTGCAACATATATATTTTTTTTGTTACAGACCCTTACGTATTATTGGCTGTTAATTTGAATCAGCATATAGAAAAGGAAACAGGGGAAAAGTTAGATATAATAATACTTATTTTTCAAAAATCTTTTAGCAAAGTCTCCTTGGAGGTGACATGGAAATGGGCAATCCGGGAACTCTTTCTCCTACCAAACCTGGTTCTCAGTACTATCAGTATTCTAGCAATAATCCGCGAAGGAGGCCTCTGCACAGCACTTCTGTTGGTGAGTTACTTCCTTACATTTCTAATGTGCAACTTCTACTGAACTGTCTTATAGAACTTGATAAAGACCTGCTAAGCTCAGTGCTAAATCACAGACTGTGAAGGTCTGAGGCTGCAAAAATGCCTCTCACCCTTCCCCTGTTATCTTCCTCTTTCAGAAGTACAAACAAAGAAAGTTCGGAAAGTTCCTCCGGGTTTACCATCTTCAGTAAGTACTCCCTTGTCAATTTTCTATTGGTATTTCTATTGTGTCTTTAAGTAAACGAGGTGCCATTGGTCATGTTGCTAATTTACAAATGATGTCAACGATTGTCCTCAGCGTTTTAATCGTCGTTATGGATAGATGAAACGCCTGCATAAATTATTCTCCTTTTGACCAAAAATAAATTGGTGATGGGTGATGTTTTGGATAGTTCTATCAGTATCCAACTCCAGACAGAATATGCATTAGTTTCACAAGCTGGTTAAATTCTTTGTCAGTGTTCTGATGATTTATGGATTTGCATTTTAAAAGAGATTTGTGAGGGGGATTTATGCAACATTCACATGGGTCTGAGCCCAGAATAGAAGGACATCTTCATTTTTCCAGTGAAGTTTCTGAATTAGAGCTGTTAACTATATTCTGTTGAAATAGCTCTCTCGCTGTGTGTGATTCCAGGTGTCAGCCTGTAGGCTTCAGGTATTATCAAAGGAATTCTAGGTTATAGAAATAAATTAAAGCATTATTAAACCTCCAATTGTCCTATTTTCACTATTAACAAATGACATGTTTATGAAGAATTCGGGGCAAGTATCCTAATTAATTACTAGCATAGGTTTAAATTATTTGGCAGTAAAAAACTATATATAGGTAGATAAAGAGAGAGAAAGAATGTATAAATTAGGGGTAATTAATTCCCACAGAAAATAGTGGTCATGCGTGTGTTGTTCCTTGCATATTATTCCTTTAAAAAAAAGACTTACTCTGAAAGAAGTCAAACTATCTTATATTTTCAGTTACCTTGTTGTTGATTAATTTTAAGCTTAATCTTAAAACAAATACATTTGGGGACATAGTTTTAAATCTAAATAGTGAAAAACTGGATTCTTTTATTATTCAAGTATGATGATGTCAATTTGAAATGATGATGGCACCTATTTTACCTAGACATATAAGTTGTACTTATATGTAGAGATAATTATAAAGTTGATGGGGTGCCAGATGAATAATATTTTATATTGCAAAACTATTTGTTTTGATTTGGGATTCTGTTCTTGTCTTACTGAATAAAAGGATACATAAAATAAAATATTATTATTTTACAACTACTGATGTTTAGCCAATTCTTATTATCTCATATTTATCTGATGCTTTCAGCTGTAAGCATTCTTCAGTATCTTAGATGTACTTGCTAGTATTCCCTGAGTGTAGTGAACAGTTAAAGGAATGAAATCATTGTTTTAAATTCATACATGAATTATGGTGTAGATTTTTTAACTTCCACACATCTGTTGAAGAAGAAATACTCCGAAACTAAAAATGATTAACAGGAAAATTGCTTAGCTTTCTTGACTGTCAGGCGAAAATTCAGGGCAAAGAAATTGTGTGTGTGTGTGTGTGTGTGTGTGTGTGTGTGTATATATATATATAAATTGTTGGTTTTTTTATGAATATTTGAATAGAAGTTGAACAGCATTTGAAGTAAGAAGAAAACGTAATATACTTGATACTTTGATTTCTAATCATTTTTAAGACAACCGCAGATGAAATATAGTTTGCAGCTGTTCTTATTTCGCAAGAAGCCAGTAAAAATAACACGGATATTATTAAAATTGCTATAGAGTACATCATCAACATGTTGTAGTATAAATAAAATGGGTTTTTTTTATTAAAAATCAATATAAATAACATTCAAATGTGTAAAAGGTAATGTTATATTCTGTCAAATTTTTAAAAATATTTTTAATAAATGTTTTTACAGCAGATTTTTTTAGAGTTTTGTTTTGAAAATATATTTGCTTTGGAATCTAATTGTTTGCAGACAATACTGTTATAACTTTAAGAATGCTACAAGGTTCCTAGTTTTCCATGAAAAAGAAAATATGGGATGGATTGGGCAATTTGATTAAGGTGTTCAAATATTTTGGAAGAATGTTATTTAAAGAAGTTGCTAGAACTTTGCTATTGATAAACTCTTTTGGAGTATTTCACATGTAATTATTTCCTAGTATTACTTTAAGACAAATAAGAGCATTTTATTCACTACAAAAGAAGTATGTTGATTATAGCTTTAGATTTCTTTATGTAATATATATATACTGAGAAAAAAGAAAACATTTTTCCACTGATGATAGATAGATAGATAGATAGATAGATAGATAGATAGATAGATAGATAGATAGATAGATAGATAGATAGATAGATAGATATTTTTACTGTGATATACAGTATATTGCATAAATAAAGAAAAAGAGATTCTGGTAGTTTGATAATTATTTCCCTTTGTAAACTGTAGCAAATTATGTTGTATGTATCAGTAAATGGCTGAGGTTTTGAAAATAATAATACAGCCTGTTGTATAGCACAATGTATTTAAATAATGCATTTTGTCACATTGTAGTATACGATGCCATTATGTTGGATAAACAATACACATTGTAAATTGACTAAATAGATTACACTGTAGTTTCTTGGTAGCTTGGAAATGAAGTGAGGATTTTCCCCCCTTAAATTAAAATAAAATCAATCTTTTCATTGTAAAGCAAATTGTAATTGATGATTCATACAACATATCTATAAAGGGATTTAAGAACTGTGAAAACCTGTAGATTTTCAATACATTTGTTTGATGATAAAAATGCACATTTCTATATTTGTTTGTTGCTGCAGGTTTTTTTTTTCTCATTTAGATCCTGGGTATATTTCAAGCGGTTTCTTTCATTTGGCTAAGAATGCAAGAAGAACTGTGAGGTCACAGGCCAGTGGTCCATCTAATATTTATCCTCTGACATCAGTCAATTAATAAATACATTAGTCCAGCATCCTTTAACATCTAGTAGCCAATCAGATAAATTTGGGAACCTTTCTTTGATTCAAGAGGATAATGTATAGTTATCAGAACTAGCAGCTGTTGATAGGTTTCCTCCATGTGTTTGTTTAGCCCCTTCTAAAAACTTCTAAATGAATGGCCATGACCACATCTTATCAACTTTAATCACTCAACTTTGTTTTGTATAAAGATCCCTAGTCATCCTTGCATTTAATTTAATATAAATGAAATTAAAATCCTGACACTGGGAAAGAGGGGGGAAAAAGCTTCTGTACATTTTCTCCATCATAAATTATTTTATATCATCTCTTTTCATTTTTCAGATTTGGTGATCATCACTATAAATATTGTTGTATGCAAACTGTACACAAAGCCATTACTGCATTTTCAGTCTTATTTCAATCCTGTTTTTTGCTATTCCCAATTGTAAATTTTGCCGCCTCCTGCTTCTTCATTACTGGCTGCTGTCCAGCGAGGTCACAGTTTCACTGAGTTATCCACCTTTTCAGATGCGTTTCTGGATCATTTAATGCCAGTCCTGATTTCATTAATGAATGCATGAAATTTAGTCGTTTGTGCCAATGAGCATGAATTTATGTTTGCTTACATTGAACTACATTTGCTATTTTAAAGACCATATGCAACATTTGGAGGCATCTCTTAAAAGCTGTTTGCCATTTCCTTTTGATTTTACCACCCTGAAAAATTTGATGGTGTCAGCCACTTTGACTTCTCTTAGCCACTTGAGGTCATCCATAGACAAGCTAAGGATCACCAGTTCTAGCACAGATCCTTCAGGACCCTTACTTGTCATATCTCTCTTATGTAAAAATTCTCCATTTAATGTCTTCTTCCTGTTGTTCACCAATTTCCAGTCTGTAAAAGTGTCTGTTTTCTTAACCTCTCACTGCCGATTCTGCCCAGAAACTTTTGAACAACTGTAAAGCTGATTTCTTGAAGCACCAATCATGTATGGATGGGAAATGGAGAAGCACAGATAACCGCAGAGTAATATCTAACTTATGCCACAGTATTCTTGGATCCACAGTAATTTCATCAACATCCATAACAGTTTCCTTGATGAATTATCCAACTGTGTATCATTTGAAATAATATGTAGATTTTTTCCAGAAGTCATTACTTTTCTGGCTATTTTAATATGCAGAAATAGGACCAAAATATCATAGATCTCTCTGTATCTCAAGCAGATCCAGGTTTATTGACTAGTTTTAAGATTTAATTAGTATTTGGATGGGAGAGTTTCAGAGCAATTGGGTAAACTGGGAAGTTGAAAACAAACATACCAGGAAAAGGCAAAAATATTTTCACGAAAAATAGCAGGAGTCACCTAGTAGGAAATAGAAGGCCTTAGTCAAACTTGGCTAATCTTACTAAACTAAGTAAAATCATACTACATTAAAAACTAAGTAGAATAGTATCAGGCAGTCCTGTGACAATTGGGCTAGATTGGGAACTTTAAAAAAAAATAATCCTAAAGGTGACAATGAGAAACCAATTTTATGTTGTTACCAAGAAATTAAAAGATGCTTGCTCCTGGGGAGAAAAGCTATGGCAAATCTAGACAGCATACTAAAAAGTAGAGACATCACCCTGCTAACCAAAGTGTCCCAATCTAGCCCAATAGTCAAGGCTATGATTTTTCCAATTGCAATGTATGATTGTGAAAGTTGGACCATAAGGAAGGCTGCGTGCCAAAGAATTGAGGCTTTTGAATATGGTGCTAGAGAAGACTCCTGTGAGTCCCTTGGATTGCAAGGCGATCAAACCGGTCAGTCCTAGAGGAGATCAACTTTGACTGCTCTTTAGAAGGCCAGATCCTGAAGACGAAACTCTAAATATTTTGGCCACCTAATGAGAAGGAAGGACTCACTGGAAAAGAACCTAATGCTGGGAAAGATTGAGGGAAAAGAAGAAGGGGACGACAGAGAATGAGGTGGCTGGATGGAGTCACAGAAGCAGTTGGCATGAGTTTAAATTGACTCCAGAGGATGGTAGAGTACAGGAAGGCCTGGAGGAATGTTGTCCATGGGGATCTCGATGGGTCGGACACGACTTCACAACTAACAACAACAAACCAGAAAACCTCTTAATGGATGCTCTCCTGTAATAATAGGAGTTGAATTCAACTTGAAATAGAGCTTACCTTTTAAACATTTCT